TCTCTCTTCAGTTTAATGCTTGAAGGAAATCTATCATATGTGTATCTGGCACTGATCTGAACAACCAGGGAAAACAAGAACATGATCACCACATCCCAACTTATGTAATGCATCAACATCTGTAACTGGCACTTGACAAAAAGGCAAACTCATATTCACCAGATATTCCTTCATCAGACTCTGCTATTGTTATGATCTCAGGGTCCACTGAAGGGGAGGGGAAAATTGAAATAGGATTTTGACCTCTTCCAATTGCATCTTGTAACTTGTCAAGGAGATTACTAGTGTTCTCATCAGAACCTATACCTCTATCCAGATAATGATAAAAAGCCAGAGAACCTAAAAACTGTGAGATCTGCAAGTAACAAAGAGAAAATTAGCATTTCCAAAAGATATGAAAGAGAGAGAGAGAGAGAGAGAGAGAGAGAGAGAGAGAGAGAGAGAGAGAGGGAATAAATTAAAAGTTTCATAAATAGATGGAAAAGAAAGAATTGAAGCAACGATGAAGTAAATTGATAATGTGGAAAAAACAAAGTTTATTAAACATCAAAAGCTAATTCCTAAGCCTGTCATTGGAACATTAAGAAAAGTTGGAAGATTTGACTTTACCATGGGCTCAGGTGGCTGGTTGGTTGATCGGGACCGCCTCTTCAAAAATGCTTCTGTGTTGAAAGCATTATTGGAAGTATTCTTCTCAGCGAAAGATTACAAAGAAACATATATCTAATAAGTTGGTAATTTGTTAAATAAACCGTCAAAACAAAGCAACAGGATAAAAAAAAAAACAAAATTTCCTTACTATAAAATTGCGGTAGCCACCTAAAATAGATGCAAAGAACCTTAAGAATATTAACCTGCCACAAATAAACAAATGCCAGTAAGGCTCACGAGAGTTTTCATATTGAACAGAATCAGTGTTACATTTATCTAAAATACATGAAATCAGACTGGCAACTGGCATTTCAAATAGCAGTACATAAAAGAAAACACAAAAGAGTCTTCATGAAAAGCAAACAAAAGCTCGTCATATTAAAATATAAGAAATCACCGAGACTAGTTGTACCAGACGAATACATAGCTGTAGAAAAACCTACTCTTTTTTTTTTACATTGCTTATCAGAAACAACAGTGAATCCAAATTTCATGTAATACAAAAGGTGATTATTTGACAAGATTAAAAATCCAATTGAAGGGATACCATTTCACAAACAGAATCTTAATAAGACTTGATATATTTATGCCCAGACATAAACCTCATAAACATCAGTTGTAAAATTATGTAATTCCAAAGCACATATTCCTTTTTTTTCTAGATTAAAAAAAAAATCCATCAACTATCTTAGACACTTGAAAACAAAAGTTTTACAACCAGTCCCCTGCATATCAGAATTTTTTTGCGATAAAAAAAGAGTGTATTATGTATAGATATGTATAGATACTAAGAGGATATCGCCCCTATACAAAATAATTACAATTCAGTTAAAACATCATAAACATTCCCAAAATCATTCCACTCATATAAATCAGTCCCCTGCATATAAGAATGAAAAGGTCAAGTTACAAGCAAAATGACAGGAGAAGAAAATTTTAATTCTAGAAATTTCAGTAAGTTTACATATGATGTCAAGCAACATCTATCAACCTCGATTTCAGATGGCAACCAACAAGAAAAACCCACATTTGAGTATCAATTTAAAGACAATTGCATGTATATGTTTTGCTCTTTTCCAAAAATGTTAAACCACAAAATACTTTGTGATTTTCAATTAATTGTATTTTAAAAAAAAAAAGAATGCAAGGACAACAAAATCCATTGCCCAAATAACGCCAAACAATCAAAAGAAATTTGTATAGCAGTCTTCAGAACAACATGCTATAATAAAGCATAGAATGGGTGGTTTAATATAAAATCACAAGAAAATCCACCGGAACAACTTTAAAAATAGAGTAAACATAAACAATTGGCTACAGAAAAGCAATGGCGAATAGACACTTGAGACAGCACATATGTATCACCTGAGTTGAAGGTCATGATCCTCTCCCCAAAGTTTGTTGCCCACTTTAGAATATTGCTCAGTGGAACTACCAAACCCAACCTTCATCTGATCTATTCCCACAACATTGGGATATAATAATTTCAGTACTTCACTTCGTAAAAAACTCAATTCCGGCTCTGGAATTGGAGGTATTTCCTCAGATGTGGTTATTCGATTAAATTCTAGATCCACAACTACCACCTAAAACAGAACAACAGGGACAAAATAAGTCATAAATTGTGAAAGCAAAACATGATAAATATGATTGGGCCATAATTCTAAGCTGAAAAAACCATTATTGTGAAATAATAATAGCTAAAATTAAAACAATCTGTGTATCATATGACATGAAACCAAAGAACATAGGTTGAAGAAGAGATATCACTAGATACTACACAAGAATTAATAGAAAAACATAATATGAGGAAACAAAGACAAAACTAGATAATTGGTACATTAAGAAGCAAAAGAAGATGTATGAAACCAACAAGTCTATACGAACTACTTACACCATCCATCACAAGATGGGATATATCAACACCTGAGTGGAGACCCATCATATATGGTGTAGGAGCATCGATATAGTCTACTCCACTGAAAAATAGCAATGGAATGTAGACTTGCTTCAGCAAAAGAAACATAACAAAAATTAGATAACAATCAATTAATATAGTTAGCCACCATATAGAAGTGGTTGCAACTTAAGAACACAAATTTATGCACATCTATTTTGGATGTTTTCTTTTTGAATTGGCAGTTAGTTTAAATATTTGAAGCTTACCTGCCACCGAAATGGATACATTAAATGGCATATGGCTTCTGACACTAGAGTTAAAAGTGAATACCTGCCAATTTGATTGAAAATAATAGTTATGCATTCTAGCTAATATACCAAGCAAGGAAAACCCTGCAGAAGCGATATCAACTAAACATTAAATGTAATTCAATACTTTAAAACAAAAATCTCTCAAATTAAACAGCAGCAAAATCCACATTTAGTATACTCATTGGCACATGAATCACATATAAAACTTTTTACTCGAAACAGAAATGTGACAATATTCATATCACCAGTCAGTTTACACTTGTTCGAAGTCAAATAATTACTTGTTTGACCGAAGCAAAATCCTTCTTTCGAGCAAGACAGCTGTAAAAAGTTTAATGAAGTTGTCAACATCCAAGCATTGTACCAGTGGCTGAAATGATACCTGCATTGAATGAAATATACACTGGTTATCTTTTATGCATGCTTTTTTGAAATGGAAATATTATCTTGGTCACAAGATGAAGAAAAAGAAGCAAAGAGGTAGAGAATATCATACATCTGCATGGGGTAGGCCATCTTTTGGAGGAGCTTCTACAGAAAGCAAGGAATTCTCAATAGCAAATAAGACTCGATCCTTTCCAGGAGTAGGCAAGGGTACATTGGACACCATATATGCAATAATATCCCACAATGGCTTGCTGAAATTGTTGTAGAGCTGAGAACATTAAATGCAATGAAAAGGATATGTACTTTCACATTTTCATATGTCAGATTAATTTCTAAAATCAATAGAATCACAGAAAGAACTTCCTGCAATAAGGAATATGGTACTAATATCATGTTCGTTGAAATAAATGTCATTATAAGACCATAAGAAAGCCTAAATCCAAATAATCGCGGGGCAACTTTACAGACATTGAAACTTTTATGAGCAAGGAATACCTGGAAACGATCAATGAAAACTTACCTACTTCCATTAGGAGAAAAGCAAAGCATAAAAACTTCTTCCAATGCATTTCGAAGAACACGGAAACTAGGCGAGTGTGAAACAAGGCAAATACACTTGTCAGCAAATGAATTTGGAGGCATACGATAAGCTTCAGCAATATCCTCACTCACTGGATCCCGAAATGCAATGCAACTAACATATATTTTTGATCCGTCACCCTCTGCAGAAGATTTGCCATTACAAGAATGAAGTATAGTGTAGAAAGACCCAGGAGAACTAAAAGCATCTTTGCATGAAGTAGAAGAAGGAAGCAGAAAGGAGCAGTACACAATAAAACTAAATTTCTCTAATGCAAAACAGTAACTTGACATACTGCTATTTATAACTTCACTTAAAATAACTGCTATAGGTCTACCAGTAAAGATGTAAAAAATACAGGGATAAACAGCACAAAACAAATTGACCCATAATTGCATGGCAAGGAAAATGTGCTGCCCAAAAAAAAAAAAATAAGGAAAAGTATATGAGCCTGTTAGGCTGCAACTTTTGTTTACAGCTTCAATGGTATCAAAGTACTTTGCAACCAAACGAGAAAAATAAAAGCACTTTTGGTCAAACTAAAGCTAAAATCAGTTTTTGATATGCATAAACACATAAGCTAAAAATAAATGTTTCTAGAAAATTGTTTTTGCTTTTAACATTTTATTTCCAACAGTGTCCTTAATTAAATTAACAAATTATAAGCTTATCTCTTTAAAAATCAAAACCAAAACAATCATACTCATCTATTCGTTCTTCTTGTTCTTTGTGGCAAATCCCACCATAAGTGGCAAATGCCGCTGCAGCCGGTGGAACTCCAGGCCCCCTCCCCCAACCTACAGCCACGCCTCATCTTCTTTGTTTCTTTTTTCTTCTTCTTTCCTTCTTCCTCTCACACACATATATAAATACATAAGATGCAACTGTATATATATAAGTGCCGACTGCAACCACAGCTGGAGGAACTCCAGCCCCCTCCCCCCCTCCCCCCCCCCAACCTAGAGCCATGCTTCTTCTTCTTTCTTTCTTTTCCCTTCTTCATTCCTTCTTCCTCTCATACACACACACACACACATATAAATACATAAGAACCAAGTACATATATATATATATGCAGTTGCTTGCTTTTCATATACATATATATATAACAGAAAAGATAGATACATATGAAAAAGTTATTTCTTTTTAGTAGATCTTAAAATTTAAAGAATGAGAGAGAATTAAAATTATTCAAACATTTTTCCTCTCTTGATACCATTTTTGGTCATTTCCATATCTACAACTGTTTTTACCAAACAGACCAGCTTCTGCTTTCAATGTGATAATACTTTCTACAGCTAATTTCGAACTAAACACACTTCTACTCAAAAGCTATTCAACAACATTTTTACCACTCATAGCACAAGAACAAGCAGCACAAAGGCACTATGTGTTAACAACCCACCAAGGAAGCATCAGAGTACAAAATTCCAAGCTAATCTAAAATATCAATAATATCCGTAGGATCTCCTCAAGATAAAGGTGGTGACCTTTAATAAAAAATGAAGGATATGGAGCCAACGGTCTCCAATATTGCCAAAAGGGGCGCAAGTTCCATTAAAAGCCCTTCTATTATTTTCTTTCCAGATAACCTAAAGAATAGAAAGGGTAATCATTGCTAAATTTTTTCCTACTATCATTCACACTGCTGCCTTGCCAAGCCCAAAATTCATTAGCCATAGAACTATTGAGCACCCAATTCAAGCCAAGGAGATCCACAATGGAGTCAACTGCCCTAGGCACAAATATATCCATTCACCAAAAATTTCTACTTTCTACTTAGATTATTGATAGAATTCCGCCCCGCCCAGGCGAACTTTTGGAATACTAATGACATATGATGTTTTAGATGTCATTTGTTTGTTTTGATCGAATGTTTTTGCTTTTATGGAAAAAAGAACCTATTATTAGAAAGAGGAAGAAAAAACACAACCCGAAAGGACTAGATCTTCTCCCAAAGAAAGAATACAAAATAAAGAAAAGGAGAAAACCGAAAAAAAAAAAGAAAAAGAAAAAGAAAAAGATCAACTGATGAAGACAAGCTGATCTCTATGCTAAATAGACAAAGAATAATCCTTAAAAAATCCATGTGTCTTGACCCAAAGGTGGAAAAATTCGGGGCACCACCTCTGTACTCCTAGTGTTCTCTCCAACCAAATCACCCACAATCCAGCAAAAACTACCTTGCAGAATAAGATCTTAACGTCCTTCCTCCTACCAATGCCATGGAGAGCAGAAGAAAGAAAACCCTCTAGATGTTAAGGGGAAACCCATGACAGACCAAAAGTAACAAACAAATGGAACCAAATTCTCCAAGCCATATCTAATGTTCTATCTTTACATTTTTTTTCTTAGTATTCCTGTCAAAAATCCTTTCGAGAATATCTCGATCTTCTTTGCAAAGAGACTAGGTGTCTATTCTGTCCTAATGTTCTTTGTTTTATTCTTTTGTTTTCAGTTTTTTGCTTGGAAAATATCTTATACTCTCACCAACACTTTAACAGCTTTTTTTCTTTTTAAAAATATTTCTTCTTTTAAAAAATAAAATTTTCCTGAACTGTTTACATCAGTCTCTTTATTATTTTTTGTGCTTTGAGTTTTCTTAAATATTATATCTATAATTATATGAAACAGTTCTCACCAATAATATCTGGTCCTAGAGTTTGTCCATGATGCAGCTTTCATCAGCAACCGAAACCAGTATTTCAACAACATAGTGACACAAATTCTAAACTAAGCATTTGGAAAGATGACAAAGTTATCAAAAGGGAATAGAAAAGGACTTATATGATAAGTCAGGCATTGTTGTAGCTTTGGCTAATGGTACACAATCAAGCAAGTTGTACTGCAGCAGAAAACTAAGACTCTAATGCGGCCATAATTAGCAACAGGTTCAAGTTTAAGCATACTCAAATCATTAGGTCAATGTTACGGAAGAAACAAGAATTCCTTAGATCAACATTCAAAATTTTGCGGATATTTGTCACAAACATTTCCTATAACTAAAGAATACCTGTCAAAACAATTGGATAGCTCCGGGGAAAAGTGGAGGGATCATTGGTATCGTAGCCAGATGAGTACAACTCAACACCAGCTGGTAGAACACACTGCCATTGAAAATGTCACCAAACACCATAAAATTCCCAAATTAAAAGAAAAAAGAAAAGAAGAGAAAAACAGTTCAGTTTACTCGAATCCAACTCATCAATCATACATAAACTAAGACAATTACTAAATTAAGAAAGAAGGAGAAGAAGAATACTTGCGATTGTTGTATTCAAAAGTGACTTACAGTGGGGAGTTGCGGAGGAGGAGGAGGGTAACGAGACTTATCCGAAGGAGGGTACTGATCGAGGAGAGAGGGCAAGTACATCACTCCCATTCCATGGAACCCCTTGTTCCCGTCCACGGTTCCAACCTCTGGTCCCATTCCACAGACCACAAAGTACTCGAAGATCCGCGCCATTCTGAATCTTCTCGATCAACTGATAGAATCCAGAAGTAAGATTTGTGTTGTCGATCCAAATCGAATTGGATCGCTTCAATGTTGAGAATGCGGAATCAGTTTGCGATCTGATTCCGATTTCTTTTTCCCTCTTCTATTTCCTTTCGTCTGATTCTTGAGGGGCTTTGACGTGGCACGGCGTCGTTTCAGCTACGCTACCCCTTCCCAAACGTCTGCCTGATCGATTAGGATCTTGTAAAGTGGCTGGCAAAATCTAACGTTTAAGGGTACATAAATGCTTTCTTATATTTATTTATTATTTAAAATATTACTAAAATAATATTTAAAAAATAAATTAAATATAATTTATATTTTATAAATAAGATCATGAAACGTTTACTAGATCGAAAAATAATTTTAACTTATAATTTATTTTATAAAAATAAATTTCATATAATTTATTTAAATTTTAAAAATTATTTTTATTAATAAATTTTATATTTTAAACTCTAATTTTGATAGTAAAATTTAAGTAAAAATCTATTATGTATTATGAACCTTATTGATTTATACAATTTGTCTATTAATCTCAAATAATTAAACATGAAAACTAATAATTATGTCTCTTTTGTTATCATTCGTGATAACTTTATTCGTAATGTATCACCTTAAATTTTTATTAACATTGTTAAAAAGGAACTAAATTTCATTTTTTAAAAAATTGATTTAGATATTGCTATCCATTTTTTTGTTACTCAAACATAACATTATTTTAATTCAGTTGGTTCAAGTGTGAACTCATGTGCTGAGTTAACTCGCCTACAATTTTTTATACTATATATAAAACTTTTCGTAATTGATTTAAAAGAAATTGTATAATCAGATAATTTTATAAAAAAAAGAATTAATCATTAATCTCCATGTTGTGTTACAATTATCCATCCAAAAACCCTAAACATTACATATATATATTTACAAAGAAATTTTCAGAGTTGCAGCACTTATCAATGATATTTTTACAAACAATTTTTCAGAATTATAGCTTTACAAAAGAAAATTTAGCAGCATAACTAGCAGGTAGGCAATTCATCTTTTTCCCAGAATTGATGCAGATTAGCTCTGAAATGCAGGTTTTTGACTTGAGCATTTTGTCATCCGGTAACTGTCAGCTTATTAAACTGTATAATCGTAGGTAAGATATGATTAGCTTCGTCATCTGATTCTCGTGTAATTCTCCTCAGGTCGGGGCAGCCTGGTGGTGGATTTACTTTTTTCTTCGGCTCGCAGTACTGCACAGCTTTGTTGATTTTGGAGACGAAGCCTGGTGGCGGGTATAATGAAGCTACTTTCGCAGTCTTGGTAATGAAGCCTGGCGGTGGTTGAATTAAAGCTATCTTCTTCACTCGTTCCTTCGGCTTAACACGCAAGTGGTTATGAAAGAACGGATGTTGCAGAGCTTCAGCAGCAGATGGTCTCTTGAGAGGATCCCAAGAACAAAGTTTCGAAATCAAATCAATCGCAGCTTCACTTGCAGATGGAATTAAGCTTGAGAAATTCACAGCAGGAATCTCTGGAAACTCATAGTTCGCCAGGGCCTTTGCGAGATATATTCCACTAGGCCAAGTCTCCATTGTTGGACTGCCTATGACGCTGCAAATTTTGTGAAGTTGATTATTCATGCCAGGAAACAGAGGACGCAAGATGAACATTTCTGCCATGATAACTCCCATCGCCCACATGTCAACTTCAGACCCGTACACGTATGATCCCATCAAGACCTCAGGCGCGCGATACCAACGAGTACCAACATAATCCGTGAAAGGTATATCTGAATTTCCTATTTCCTTGGAAAGACCAAAATCAGCAATCTTCATGACATTGTGATTACTAACCAACAAATTTTCAGGCTTCAGATCACGGTGAAAATATCCTTGACCGTGAACATGAGCCAATCCTTGAAACACCTGGAGACACCATGTACGAATTTCTGCCTCTGATAATCTATCTTTGCTGCGTTGTCTTCCTCGCAAAAGTTCGTAGAAGTCCCAGGGCATGTATTCAAATACCATAAAGACGACATTGTTTTCCATGATCACTTCTTTCAGATTCACCACATTGGGATGTTTGATTCGTCGAAGCGATTTCACTTCCGTGAGATTCAAGCAATCCTCCCAACTACTTAAACGGTTTCTCAGTTTCTTGATCGCAACAATTTCACCGCTCCTTCTGTCGATCGCTCGATACACGCATCCAAATCCTCCATTCCCAACTTCGTTCATGAATAGAAAGTTCTCCATCTTTACAACAATATTTATATATGTGCGTATATACTTGGGCAATGCAGTGAGTGAATAAGAAAAAGCTTCGGGTACTTTCGTCTGAACAATCGATAACAAGAAGAATGAATGTATCTAAAAATAAGGCCGGCTGAAGAGACCGAGACCTTAACGGATATGATCAGAAACCAAATCGGTGATCGATCGGCAACGCAAAACGACACAAATCTTGTCCTTCTGGTGCAGTCAATTAATGATGCAAGAAGAAAATAGCAAGAAGGCTGAAGAAAACGACGCCATTAGCAGCCAAGAAAGCAGGTGATCGCAAGAAATTTTACCGAGAACTTCTTTCCGCTAAAACAAGAAGGCTGAAGAGAAGGACACCACTAACGGTCAAGAAAGCTGATGATGGCAAGAAATTATACCGAGAACTTCTTTCTGCTATGGAGAAAACAAGTAGGACTGTTTAGGAAAACTGAGGCTTTTATAAAGAGAAGGAGCCTGGAAATCCTAGTCGGAAGAGGAAGACGATTGACGGAGTCAATCCGGATTTGACTGGTTTTGAAATTACGTTTTCCCCTCCCAAATACTAAATTAACTAAATTTAATGAAGTTCATAGTTTCCGACTCCCGGACTAATTAGAAGATATAGAAACTTTATAATAATCATGCTTAAATTTATTAATTAATTTAATAAGTAGTCATGGAAGTTAATTAATAAAATCCACCAAATTTTACTTTGATTACTTAATCAATTCCTTTGAAATTTTTGTAGGAAATACGAGAGTCGGCATTGTTTAATCTCTTGTGTTTATATTACTTTTATCATGTCACACATAGCATTTCCTTAAAATTTACTGATAATATTCTAATTTATATATTTAATATATATTAAAATGATAAACTAATTATACTTAAAAAAATACATGATAAAAAAATATACAATTAATTTTGCATTTAGAGAGAAGAAATAAATTAAATTGAAATATAAAAGTATAAAAGTTCAGTTTAATCAATATCACTGTTAAATTTAAGTTTCATTGTTCTAATAATTTGCAGCTACACATGTCTAATAACATATTATTGTTGTGCATTATATTAGTGCATTTTTTCTATGATTTTATAAAATGCTAAATATTATTATCTTCATTTTAATGTATGACTTGCATTAGTTCGTGGAAATTTAAAGTGATTTAATGTAATTTTTTCTTTTTTTGTTTGTTAGTAAATACTTTCTTCTATTTAAGATTTATTTAATTCTAATTTGTTCTTTTTCTATTCCTGCTAGATTATATTTAACATACATACTTTTGTAGGAAATTCCCAAATAATAAATCTTTATGAACTGTTATAGGAAAAAAATTGCTGCGAAGATCGATTATCAGAGGCCCGTAAGTGATATTTCTAAGTATTTCAAAGATTAGTTCACATTTCATAATCAAAGATACTTTTACCATGTTCTCAAACTAAAAAATTTATAAATGAATAATCACAATGTTACGAATATTGTGCAGTAGTGCTTCCCGAATTAGAAAATAAAATGACCGTCCGGCTTCCCTAATAAGAGGAGAATCTGATAAAGTTAATTATATATTATCTACAATATACAATTTCAAGTACTAAAATTTTAAAACACCAAATAACCTCTAAAATAATTAGAAACGGATAAATGAAATGTTCTTGGAATCAAAATGATTTGAAAGATGCCCCCGAGTAAAATAAAAGAGTCTTAAAACCCTATGCCCATAAACAAAGCACTCATGATGTAAGAGGTTTTTGATGTCCTTTCCCAAGGCAAAAGAAAGATTTCATATCCCTATGAACATATACATAAATCTTAAACTATTTCTCAAATTCATTTCAAACTTGTTCATCGACAAAAAAGACTCAATCGATTTGGTCGTGCATCAATCTGTCCACAAAAAAATATTCAATCTATTTGTCCATGTCATGTTAGATCCACAGAAAATGCAAGAAGAGAATTATTGTAAGGCTTCTACATATCATCTTAATGGCAATCTCGTTTTAGAAGATATAATGAATTTAACAACAAAAATTAATAATTTAGCCTTTTGAACTTTACCTAATAGACCCATTATAAAGCTCCCCTCATTGGTTCTTCCCCTCCAATTGCGTTTCTTTCTCATCTCTTCCCTCTCTTTGTTTCTTTCTTTCTTTCTTTAAATCTTTCTTGTTTCTTGGAGTACTCTCCCAATACCATCTTTGCCTTACCCGAATCACTTTCCCCTTCTCTCTCAGTGATTTTTTCATTTTTGGCTCAACCGCTTCCTCTCACCCTCTTATATCTAGCTCTTGGGTTCCCCTCATTTTTCTCTTTCTTGAGCAAGCAGAAACCCAGACCCGTCCTCTCTCTGTTCACTTGCCTCTTTCTCTTTTCACGTATTCCAACCTTTTATCTTTTTCTTGCTCCCAAAACGATGCAGTTTCTTTACTTTTTGTTGGAGAAAAAAAAATTAATTAAGGAAAAGAACCAATACCAAATACAAAAAGATATTTATAGGTACAAAAAGTAAATTAAAAGTTTCGTCTAAATTTTTCTCAATTAATGGAGCATACAAAAAGATAGTTTCAATAATTTTTAATTTCCATAAAATATTTAATTATTTAGAAATTTTAAATAACATGCATCTTAAGAGTTGCATTTTAATTTATGTTAAATTATTTTTCTGGCAGAAGTATATTTGTGTAGTGTATGTATTAGTGGTTTGTCAATTTTTTTTTTGGGCTTAAATTTATGTACTTTGTTAATTAATTTATACATGTATATTAATAATAATAAGATTAATAATAATTTAATTTTTTTTAATAAGAATTACGAAATGTATTATTTAAACTAAATTATATCCTCGTAAAGAATTTTATATTTAAATAATTTTAAAAATACATAAATTTTTAATATAAAAATATAATACAAAAATTACTTTAAATAAAATTAAATATTATAAAAGCCAATTTGGTTCAAAT